GCCCAGAGGCAGGCTCGCGAGCGCACCCGCAACCGCATCGCCGAGCTCGAGGCCCAGGTCAAGGAGCTTCGAAAGGATGACTCGACGAGGCTGTCGGCCGCCATGGAGCAGCTGGCCGCCGTCACGCGCGAGCGGGACGGCCTGTTCGACACCTTCAAGTCCATCGAGCAGACCATCCGCGACCATGTGCTGCCGAGCCGCCCGACCCCAGCGACACAGCAACGCTCGCCGCCTCCTACCGTGACAGCGTCAACATCCCTGCCGCGAGCAGGCTCAGCAGCCTCTCGGGATGCGACTATGCTGACGGAGCTCTCTGCACCAACCTACACCGCACCCATGGGCCTGCTGCCCGAAACCCCCGCCGCCCTCGACGTCCACGGTTTCCACGGTAGTGTCAATGGCGCCGTCGTCGGCAGGGTGCCGAACGGGTTCTCGGCTTGCAGCGTACACGCGCCCAGCGTTCACGCACCCAGCTCTACGTCGGACAGCCAGGACTTTGTCGACGACGAGGACGACGACGGGGACGATGCCCCAGACGATCCCAATCTCATCGTGCCACCGCCCGAGGCGCACTGCGACTGCGTCACTGTCCGGACCCCAGCGGGCCCAGCGTCCCCGAGGGTGAATGTGTGGCGGGCTGTCAACCAGGTCTTGGCGAAGCGGTGTCGCATATCGAAGGAAGCTCACGCGATCGAGGACTCCAACGACGAGGACATCCCCGTGCGGGTACTACTCGAAGGCTGGAACGCCGTCGCAAACAGCCGGCCATTGTCCAAGCTGTGGAGAAAGCTCCGCAGGGTCGACGAGTTGTGCTTCATGACTTGCCCGCCGACAGAACGGCTGGCGATCCTTCGAACCATGCACTTGCTGCTCCAGTATCACTCCGATCCCACCCCGGAACGCTATGCTAAGCTGCCCACCTGGTACCTGAAGAGGTTTGTCAAATAACGGTCTAGATGTGCTAGTCCTTGGACGTATGCTGATCTATTGCAGACCATCACAGGCGATGCCACATTCTTATGCCATCGACTTCTTTGTCTGGTACGTCAATACACCCCTCTGGTCATCGCCATTGATGCTCGAGTGCAGTCTCTAACAACCTTTTAGGCCAGGTGTTCGGGAACGGTTCGTTTTCGGACAACATCACTACTGCAACAACCAGTTCTGGGAGCTCTTCGGCCCCAACTTCCACCTCCTCTGGCCCTATGAGTTTCGCGACGCGTACAAAAAGAGCGTCGTCACAGGCCAGTACCAAATATCACCCATGTTCGAGCAGAGGATATCGGACATCAACGCGTGGACAATGGGCATGGACTTCTTCACCCGCTTCCCCGAGCTCATCGCCGACATCCCAGCATTCCACTCCGTCGCCCAGGCCCTGACGCCCGCCGTCACGTCACCGCCCCCGATTCATCACCAAGCGCTGCCCCAGCAAGCTTCCCTATCGCAGCTCAAGGAGCGCGACGAACGACTTCTTCTCGAGCAGCAGGCCTCAGCGGCGGCAGACGAGCAGCAGCAGCAGCAGGCCAACCAGGACGCCATGGATTGCTCTCAGGCCATGCAGGTGTACCCGGGAAGCCTCTACACTATGGCGCCTCCCGGCTTCATGGACGAGTTCATCCCACAGGGTTATGATGCGCACGGCCCGGCTGGGACGTATGGCTCGATGCCTGGGTACTTTTGAACTGGTGATAAGCAGTTGAAGAATCACAAGACAATCTCATCCGTCGACAGACTGCTCACCAGCAATTCACGCGTGAACGGTCTAGGCGATGATGAAGCGATTGCCCAATGCGGAAAGGCATGCGGCTAAAGGATGCACAGCATCGACCGAGCTAGCTGCATGTCATGTTCACTTGCTTAGCTGCCAAGGTGCCATGTCAGGCGTTTCAGAAACGCGACCGGCCGTTGTGTCACCCACGATGTCGGCGGCGATCCTGACCTGTCGGCAAGCAGAGTTTCTGGCTGCAGTAAAGGTCCAAGACCACGACTATAAGCGCCAAAGATCGATCCGAGACCGATGCCCTGCGCCACGATCTCCAAGAGACGCGCCGAGCCGGCTGTTCGCGGGGGATGGCTTGACGAAGCGGCAATTAGACGCGAGGGACGAGAATGCGGGTACTGTGCGACGCAGCCTATCGATGAACTGATCGATGTATATCACGCCCAGCTCGGATCACAGATTGCGTGCGCTTCACGACTGGAGCTACTAAGGCCGCCTCTATGTGCTACCGTTGGCGCAAAACTTATGATTTATGACCTTGGGATTGGGTGCTGGTTAGCACCCATCAGGAACAGAATGGCGGCTATTTTGACGTTTACTATACGTTCGTCAGGGCAATATGCCGCGTGTATCAAGATGTACCATATTAAAAATCCAAGCGTATTCGATATTTTCATCCGTCCAAATTCCGTGACTACTTGTAATGCAGTACAATCTGCCCGTGAATATCTAAATTACCTGACTTAGGAAAAGAACGTCTTTGGCCGCTCCAGAAGTTCACCATCCAGAATAATGTCGACTTTCTCATTGTAAAAGCACAGCAGACCAGCGATCCCCGCGCTCTCCTGCGTGGGAAGCCTGTAGTACCAGACCAAATCATTGTACTCTTTGCCATCCACTACAACATTGTAGTACTCTGCATCGCCCTTGTAAGGGCACTTGGTGATGAGCTTGCTTTTTCGCAGAGCTGACTGATCAACCGACGCTAAGGGAGATAGTATCGCGTAGGCAGCCCAGTTTCCAGCAAATGAACAGCAAAATTGGTCTTGGCGACGGTCTTTCCGGCGACCTTGACCTCTACAGGCCGCGACGAAGGGAGAATATCGATGCGCTTGTAGGGGTCCTTGGGGTGGACGTAGATGGGCGTCTCTTCTTCGAGCCATTGGTCTGGTTGTGGTGGTTTTTTTGTCAGTTCCGAAGGTACATGCGGAAATTACGGAACTTCCGATGGTGGCTGAGACAACATACCCATACTACCGAACTCGAGCCTTATCAGGCCCTTTAGAGCGCCGCTGATCTCTCCATTATCGGAAAATCTCAACGCCCGGTCGGTGGTAAAGTCGTTTTCACCGTCCCGTCCAGGAACGGCCACTTCAACGACTGCCGCCGCGGCTTGGGATGCATCGGCCGCGGACTGGATGTCTTGCTTGTCTTTCCAACGGCAGTTCCGTAGCTCTGCTATCGGTACATAGTACTGAGGATATGCAACGTGCTCCCAAACATGGACTGCTTTGGTGGTATCGACGACGCATGTGCTGTTTAAGATGACTCGGACTCTGCGGGCGGTAGGTTGTGTCTTGTGAGGGCCATCCGTGAGAAGATGTCTCGCGAGCTCAGGGAGACTAAGGAGGTTTGGCGTTATTTTAGCTTGTAAGAATTATACACATGCTTCGTCTGCACTTGACCTATGGTTTTGAGACCATGGTATGGTGGTTGACGGGCAAACAACGCGATGGAATGAGATGCATCACCGCCGACATGAAGACCGACTTACTCGGCTCGGAACTGTCCAGGTTTAGACATTCTGCCCAGTTTTCGGTTCGCTCTGCCGGTGCACTAGTTTAGTTGAATTGAGCTGAATTACGAAAAAGCAATTGCACATGAATGCTTGCTTTTCATAGAATGAATCACCTAGTAGGTATGAGAATGCCATCTCGTCTTCCTTAGTGTACATCAACCCCGCGCTTCTCCCCATTGTGACGTCTGCCACTTTACGTCAGCATTCTCGGGCCCGCGTGGTCCGGACAAAGCGCCGGCTCGCTCTGTTACTCAAGGCCCCACATCTCCGGTAGTTCATCTTTTGCACCCGTCAGTCCCGGAGGAGTTATTGAAAGTCGCCTCATGTTTCTCCACACGCGTATGTTGCTCATTCTTCTGATTTGAAGTATTTAGAAATTCGAATCCGTGAATGATGCATCTCGCTCGGTAGGCCCGACTGCTGCAAGTCGAGGTCTCGGCCGTTTGAATTATCGCTGAATACCGTTCTCTCAGCAAATTGACGCTGCATATGACGTGGCGGTAATATGTGCCATCCCATCAATTCTGTGAACCCCAACAAGCGGCTCATTAATTTGGTGGAATTAACAGCCTACTCTAGCCGGGCATTACCGAGTTTTCCAAAAGTCTAGAACCTTTCTTGAGACTTGGTGGCTGAGACATACAGAAGATGTGGCTGCAACGGTTGAGACTGCCAGTCTCCAGGCAAGTGTATTTCCGGCCTGACCGCTCCGAGAAGTGGGGGACTGCAGACCAGGGCCATCCGAGACCACATTGAAGCCACCAATTTGTGTCAAAAGGAAGGGCGTTTCCCACTGAGCTAGCGCCACAAGCCATTTTCAGCCTTGTTTTTGTGGTTTCATGCATCAATATTAACTTTGAACCCTTTCAACTAAGTCTTGGGCAAATATGGCGGAGCTTAACGCAACGTAGCGGCCTTGCCGGCTTAGCGTAGTGCTCAACGGCCGGCCGGCCTAGTGGGCCTCCGGGATCCCGGGGAAACAGTGGGCCTATGACCGGACCCTCAACACAATATCTTGGCCTTCGGTCGACCAATAAATGTAGCCACACCAGTGGTGAACTCTTTCTTTCGACATCCTCACACTTGATGAATGTGGAATAAAATAAACCCGAAGAAGACTGAAAAAAAGTGCCTCAATGGGTTCCCGATGGTTACCTAAGGAGTTCGCTTCCACGCGGGACTGTACATAAAGGCTTTCACATTTCACAAGACTTAAAGTACTGCGATTCAAACCGCGTCAAGCGACCATGAGATCGACAAATTCTTCTTTTTCTCTGGGGCACACATGCCTGAACACGTAGAGCGCCTAAGTTAATAATAAAATGTAAACAGTCCACAATGGTCTCCAAAGTTGCTGATTTACTGAACCCTGCAGAGGCGACCATTGCTTTTTTCTTCCCAGCCTTCATTTCCTACACATGGTTTACACCACAAAACGTCCTTCGGATCGACACTACGCTTGATTTTGGACAGTCGCGGGTAATTCGTACCCCAAAATGCCTGCTGCCAGTCCTTCTCGAACGGGAAACCCTGATTAAATCGTTAGCAAACGTTCTGAGCTGGCCGAATTCTGTTCTCGACAACTAAGGGAAACCTACTTCATTGATATACGACCCTCCATCAGGTGTTAGCTGGCGAAGAGGCTCAAACCTGGCGTCCAGGATCTCTCTGGCCTTTTCCCCAGCTGCTGGATCCCACGGTTCGTATCCCCAGCCCTGCCAGGTGACTGCTGGTGGTCAGTGACTTTTCTTGCATGTGCACATGGCCTTGACTTGGCTGTGAGGTTTCTGAAGTTGGCTACTCACGCGCATGAACATACGCCTTGCGCCAGGCCGGATGGACAGAATTCCCACCGCCGCGGGGCTTCGCTTCATTGACACCCTTTCCAGCAACCAGGTATGTTCCCAGCCAACCATCATTGAGAAGAATTGGCTCCAGTGCACCCTTCAGCGCGTCCAAGTCACTTGTCAGGGTCTTCTTATCTAGGAGTCGTGAGATCAGATAGACAGAGCCCCCAGCTTGACCGTCGTCAAAGTTCTCAGCATACCAGGCCGCGAATGAGTCGTACGGTTGAGCAATAGTGAGCAGGTTGACCTGTCCAGGCCACCGTTCCTGGATGGTTTTGTTCAGTGGTTGAAAGATCTCGTTAATCTTGGCTGTATCTTGGGTATCCAGAATGATTGTCTTGCCCATTAGACCGGCAACTCGCTCTGGGAGACCCGGCAGTGGGATCGGCGGCGTCGAGTTCACGGTAGCCATAAGATAACCTGATAGTCCAGAGTCCGAGAGGTACGGGAGCTGAGAAGCGGCCCAAGTAGCGAGGTCCAAAGTGAAGGGAGCCTCAGGAACAGTGAAGGCCATGAATAAAACCATAGTGAGCTTCTTTTCGGGATGCGTTTTGACTGTGACAGAAGTGAGAACTCCAAAAGTGGATCCTCCTCCCTGACAATTTCATATTAGTAAATGAACAGCAAAAGTGCCCGCGGTCCATGACTTACACCTCGCATGGCCCAGAACAAATCGGCGTTTTGATCTTCGTTGACCGTGATAAGATCGCCGCCGGGGGTAACGACCTCCATCTGCAACACGTTATCTGCCGCGAGACCGTAGTGTGGTGCTAAGATGGAGTGGCCGCCTCCCGTCACAAAGCCACCCTGAGAAACGGTTTTACCTCCGCCGCCTACGACAGCGCGGTTGTGCTGGCTTGCTACCGCATACACATCAACCATCTTCGCTCCGGCTGCGGCGGTGATGGCATCGCCTGGTATGGCCTTTCCCGATCCAGCGAGCTCGAATTGCCCCTCATGATACTGGATCCTGTTGAGGTGGTGTGTCCAGATGGAAAGGGAGCCCGGCGCGATGGAACGGCCAAGGTAGTCATGTCCACTGCTCTTAACGACTAGACGAATTTGATTCTTTCGCGCTGTGCGTGAACTTTTGTCAGCTAAACCTGATATTTCTTCTTTCTTAAAAATTGAACAATACACTCACCAAAGTCAACGGCAGCCTTGACATGGGTCGCCGTGGTTGCGTTGACCACGTACGACGGATAGCCCGCTCCACTGCAGGGGAAGCCATCGATAGGGACGCAAGTGTAGTTGGTCCAATTGTCCCACATCACCGAGACAGGGTTCTCAGCATGAAATTCAAAGGTTCTCCAAGCCGTGAAGAGGTTGGTGCACTGGTCTGCACTGTAGTTCGGCTGCTCAGGGTGGCAGACGCCGCCGGGAACAAGTGGCTTGAAGAGCCGTCCGTCTACTGCCTTGTTCAGGCGAGACCAATCATTGCTCGAGGGCCATGATGCGGTGCCTGGAAAGGCCTTGCACTCTGAGGATGCGGGAGTAGCTTGAACCAATGCAGATGTGCAAAGCGCGAGGAAGAACTTTGAGAAAATCATGCCGCGTATTGAGGAGTCCGTCAACCACTAATCGTTGGAGGCATAGGTGATCTACTTGAAAAGCTCTTCATACATGCTTTATCTATCTCTGACGTGGTTATAGTACTCGATCTAATGCCAATAATGACAAGGACGCCAAGGCAGAGTTCTCGTGTATTCAAGCCCGATCCTTCGGTGTGCAAGGGCGCAGCAAAACGGCAATTTACGCCACATCAAATGACTCTCTGGCTAGCCAGCCAATCACCATAGGACATTTTGTTCTCGTCAAATCAACTAGTAAGCGATGAATCTCGTTCAGCACGACTGATGTGGATGGGCACGGAACAGCGAACCGAAGGGCTGATTTCAGGCTATACGCTGCGAGGCAGCAGTCAGCACGCCCTTCTGGACCGACGGTACCGCTCCCGTAGTTTCCGCAGGATTACTCCTGAAGGATTCTCAACGTAGCCTTACGTGGGGTGCCGCAGGATTACACGCGCTAGTTCAGGTGCGTATCTTATTACTGAATGCAGTCATCCGCGGAAGAGATGTACGTACCAAAGACCCTCTCGGCAAGACGAGGCCCATTTACGTCCCGAATTGGCCATCAGTCATGTCTCTGGGAGCTTTGCATTATGACTGACAACCAGATGAGCCCCGTATACTCTTGATATTGCTGAATTCTTTGTGTCTTCAGAATAATTGCAACTCCCCGAGTCTAGTATGTGCTGATTTCATCCCAGGAACATGGAGGCTGATACAAGAGATACCTTGGAGATTTCCATGCCGCCTCAATTGGATGGCGATAGACAAGCAAACATGACTCATGAAAATGTTGCCAACAATGATTTCAAAGAGAAGTCGGAAAGTTCTAAGAAGGAATCTGGAAGCCAAGAAAATGATGTAAATGAGAGGACGACTGGTGAGGACTCAGACGAGTCGCAGACTCATCAATATGCGACACCACGAGAACTGGCTCTTCTATCAACAGTTTTCACCATTGCAACCTTCATGATAGCCATAGATGGCAGTATCCTTGGTAAGCTTTTGCGATTCCCTGGGTTCTAGAGATCGTTATGCTCACCGTGGCTAGCGACGGCAATCCCTAGGATAACTAGCGATTTCCATCGACTCAATGACGTGCCATGGTACGGAAGCGCATATCTCTTCACAGAAATGGCATTTCAGCCTACATTTGGTCGCTTGTACACTCTATTTAGCGCCAGGATTCTTTATCTGACTTCCGTCATCATTTGTAAGTCAGATTCGTAGATCTTATGGCTCTTGATGAAGTTACTAAAACTTTCTGTGATTTCCTGAAGTCGAGGCAGGCTCGATCCTTTGCGCCGCCTCGCCAAATTCTGCAGCATTAATCACGGGGAGAGTTATATCTGGCATAGGAGCCGCTGGCCTACTCTGTGGAAGTCTGTCGGTCTACGGAAGGTCGGTTCCTCTGCGAGCTAGACCGTTCGGAATGGCCCTAGTCACAAGTATGTACGGCGTCGCAGGAGTTCTGGGACCGACTCTCGGAGGACTCATCACCGATACGCCTCGCCTCACCTGGAGATTCTGTTTCTGGTACGTTTTTCACTGGTGATTTACTCTGACAGTATTCTAACTTTCGACAGGATCAATCTACGTGAGTAACGAAAGACTAGCAGCCGACAAGGTTCCTCTGACAATAAGCCTAGCATTTGGTGCTGTGACATTTGGAATCGCGTACAAAATTTTGAGAGCGAGAACACCAATACACGGGCGGCTCTCGTTGCGCCAGAAGCTGAAAAAACTCGATCTACTTGGCGGATTTCTTCTCATCGCTGGCTTGATCACTCTGTTCTTTGCTCTCCAGTGGGGCGGGACCAAATATCAATGGTCCGATCCTAGGGTGTATGCATGCCTCGCGGTGTTTGGGGTCCTGATCACATCTTTCGGGGTATTGCAGGCAAGAAAGAAAGAAGAGTGAGTAAGATATAGCAGTGAGCATCTGCAAAGCTTTGTTCTTCAGGAGCTGACCGGGCAAACCCTCAAAACTAGAGCTACTATCCCCATGCGGATCCTCTCGCAGCGAACGGTGGCCATCAGCTGCACCTTCAACATGCTAATGTCAATGGCACACAACACGCACATGTACTATCTAGCCTTCTACTTCCAAGCAGTCCTAGGAACCAACGCGGTGACGTCGGGCGTCCGCTGCCTCGCGTACGGAATACCATGCAGCATCGCCATCATCGTCACTGGCGCGTGCGTCAGCTCAAAAGGCTACTACGTCCCGTTCATGTGGCTTGGGTCTAGTGTCTTCATCGCCGGCTGCGTGCTCCTCCAGAGACTGGATAGAGAGTCGTCGATTGGGCAGTGGATCGGCTTCCAGATCCTCAGCGGGGCGGGCATTGGGCTTGCGGAACAGGTCCCCTTCATCGCGGTGCAGGTTGTCCTTCCTGACAGCGACATGCCGACGGCGTGTGCCATGGTCGTATTCCACCGCTTGCTAGGTGGTGCTGTGGGACTCAGCATTGCTTCTAACCTCTTCTCTCAGGAGCTCTACCGCCGGCTTGCGGGAGCGCCGGGAGGTGTCAACGTCAAAGCAATACAAGATGCTGGTGCATCTGACCTAGCGAAGGCGGTCCCCGCGGCTATTTTGCCGCTCGTGCAGAAGGCGTTCAGCTTTGCAATCTCCAGGGCCTTCATCTTACCCATTGTCGTCGCGGGCGCTTCCTTGATACTCAGCTTTGGCATGCAGAGACGATGGATACCAGATGATCGGGCGCAGCCAGGTCAGGAGGCCAGCGCCGGCGACGCGGTTGCACCTGCATCAGATCAGGGAGGGAATGAGAGGACTGTATAGTGATAGAAAAGCATTTGGGAGTATGCAGAAGTAACGCTGGACTACAGGTATTTGAAGGCTGTACATGTAGTTGTCGTTGCAAAGATGCCATCGTTCTGCTGAAACTAGTGACTGATTTTGGAGACATCATGTCAAAGTTGAAATTGCTCCGTGCTGACAATCGTAATGCAAGAGGTCTTTAGCGGGGTAGGCTTCAGCGGCTACAGGGGCTGCGCTGGATGCAGTTATTCTTTGTATTTACCTCGGTAGAAGCGTATCCGTAAACTTATAGAATAGAGCAACTACAAAGTTGCTAGCGGGAAAATTCAATTATAATAATGTCAATCATTCAAGCAAAAGTACAAGGTTCTTTGAGTCAAATGAACAGCTGAAGCGCCAAAATCAGTGCACAATCCACCTCATGCCGCGTCTATCAAAGTCTTCAACACCGAAGAGGCACGTTGCAAACAGTCCGCCCACGCAATGACCTCTTCTTTATCAGTGACCACGGAGAAATGAGCTCTGCAAATCAGATTGTTAGCTTTCTTTGCAAAATAGAGGTCTTTTCAGTAAGGACATCACTTACCCTCCATCAGTAACATAGTATGTCATCCAGAATCTCTTGGGGTTCTGCATGATGAAGCAAGACTCGGGGGAAAGCCCATCGGTATTCGAAAACATCTGGTTGGGCTCCACAGTCTGCTCATAGAGCGGATTCTTGAAGAGAGCAGGCACGTCCTCGCCCTCCTCTGCGCAGAGCTCGAGGGCCCTGAGCGTCCGCTGGTAGCATCGACCCATGAACGCGTCCTTGATGATCTGGTTACGAGCGTTGGCAGCCTCGACCATCAGCTCGAAGCGTTTTCGTGCCGGCACACTTTCGTCGTCTGCGATGGTGCAAAAGTCCGCAGTGATCGGTGTGTTGACTTGCACAATGTCGGGCCGTCCCTTGTGGTAGTGCGACATGGAGATGGCCTCCCAGGATTGGGCATTAAGGCCATAGTAGTAGTAATTGGCGAGAAGGCCCATAAGGTCGTAGATGCCCTTGATGGGGAGGTGGCGCTCGAGCAGAATGTCTTTCCCAAAGTCGGAGAGCACGATGTCTCTGTAGCCGAACTTTGAGATGTCGTTCTGGAAACGCTGTCGCACGTGTTCAATGCGTGCGTCCAGCGCTGGTGTTGTCTTGAGGGTGTACTTTCTGGGCGAGGAGACAACACCACTGGTATGGCCGTTGACCTCTCGCGGTGGCTTATAGGTCATGATACCTTCGACAATAGCAGTTTGCATCGCGAAGAGGGTCATTGCCTAAGTATAAGTGGTCAGAAATCTTCACTTCAAAATGAGTTAGACATCGACGCGACTAAACTTACATCAATCATCGTGTGCTCGACGTATGTGCCAGAAGTTGCATTCTTGCACACCACAAACGCAATGGACTTGTCAACCCATCGGTTGAAACCGTTGAGCATCATCATGTCGTTGATTCTATCCTCTGCATGCGTAGGCTCTGTGCCGTCGAGACAAACGAGGAAAGCAGAAGCCTCTACCATATCTATGGTCTCTTTGTTGGTATCATCAAGCTCAATTAAGGCTTGTCGGCTCTATTATTGATGAATCAGTCTCACCATTACTCATGATACGTGCGTAAATAGGCTGCAGTGAACTTACCTCCGCCCACGAAGTGCGATCGTCGGTGCCAAGGATACTCGTCCAGTTGTCGTTAAGGTCTTGCTGGGCCAGCAGAGCATTGAATGTCTTGGTCAATGCTTCGACGGAAACGTTTTGATCTCCGTCCATGAGCTCGACCTTGTAGATGTGTCCGCGATAGAGCACTGCCATGTAGTCGTTGCCTGGGAACTTCGCCATCTGATCCAGCGGAACGCCAGGCAGCCGAGCAGTGTTGAAGATGTACTGCCACAGATCAGTGCAGTTGGCTGTGAACATGTACGCCATGGGCTCCCATCGATCGGATTCGAGATCTTGCTTGGCTTGGAAAGCGATGCTTGCAATCACGGCTGCTCGCTCGGCTTGAGTATGGCCCATGTCTCCGAGAGGGTGGAATGCCATGAAGTTGTTGAATGGCGCGAGCGGCATGCGTCTCTGCAGATACATGCTCTGAAGGAAGTACTTCTCCTGCCAGTTTTCGATCGCGGGATCGTGAGCCTGGTCATGCAGACGACTGTAGAACTTCCGACCAATGCTGTCCGGCTTTCTGAACTCGGCCACATCGTCCTCGATGGTCTTGAAGTCTTCGGTGGAAAAGAACATTCTTGACTTCTCCAAGTAGTCGTCAAACATGACGTCGAACTCGACAAGGGGCATCTTTTGGAGCGTCTTGATTGCTCGACAACAATGGAAGTTATGGTTGGTATCTGGTGCTGCACTTTCGATGGCCAAGTCCGAGGCTTTCACGGCTGTGGGAATTGCAGTCTCTTCCTTCTCCGTGACAGTCGTCTCAGTACCTTTGGGGACGAGTTTGGACCTGAGAATGATGACCTTGGCCAGACTCAGAATGTTGACAGCATCGAGAACCTCAGATGTCTGAAGGGTCGCCTGGAATGTGCGAGAGAGGAAGTTCTTCAACTCGATGGCAACAAGTGAGTCAAGACCAAAACTCTCCATCGAAACGTCGGGACTGATCTCTTCAACTGGTACAGCAGTGAACATGGCAAACCGCTGGCAAATGCCGTTCACCACAATGCTTTTGACTTCTTCGGGCGAGGAGGCTTGTTGAAGCAACTTTCCAACGTCAGTGGCAGCTTCCTTAGTCGGCTCTCCCTCCTTCTCCAGGTAGGGAATCTGGCTGAAGATGGGATTCGCAAGGGCCATCTCATCATGTACCGCCTCCATCGACTTTCGATCGAAGCCAAGTATCAGCTGGTGGAGATCGTCCTCGTTTGCCTGAGCGCTCATAGCGTAGGTCAAAACGGTGAAGACTTCATCCAACGACATGAGGACAGAGCCGCGTCTCATGGCGTCTTGCTGCGCAGGGGGCAGCGAGGTGATGGCCAAGGATCCGTCAACAGCACCGAGGTTCAAGGCGATGTATCTACAGCTCGATTTCTTTTTGCTCTGGGCAAAAGCATCCTGATAAGCGTTACCGACAGCGTAGTTTGATTGTCCAGACTTTCCGAGGATAGCGGTGATGGATGATAGCATGATGAAGAAATCGAGGGAGCCGGAAGCACCAAAGGCTTTGTCGAGGTTCTGGGTTCCCTGGACCTTGGGCTTGATCGCGGTCATATAATCGTTGTGGGACATGATTTCAAAAGGATGATCCTAGAAATGACGTGAGCTACGCTGTGCGAGAGGGCTAGCATGCATAATATAGACTTACTCTCAAGACCATTCCTGCATGGACGACTCCTCTTACTGGAGGAAGTTTCTCTGCACACTCAGCAGCGGCTGATTGTACTGAATCTTGATCTGTCACATCACAGCGGATGATATGAAGCTCTGCTCCAATGGCGCGCAACTCTTCCTCGAATGCAAGTTGATCCTTCTCTTCCAGCTTGCGACGAGACAAAGTTACCACATGTCCCGCACCATGAGCGGCTAGGAACTTGGCGATCCTTCGCCCAAGGTCTCCAAGACCTCCAGAGATGACATATGTGCCATTGATTTCTAGCCGGAGAGGCTGGGGACGTGCCAACGTCAACTTGACTTGCGTCTGCTCGTCGCAAACAAGGACAACCTTGCCAGTGTGCTTTCTCGACTGGATCAGACGGAAGGCATCCTCGATATCAGTCATGGGCATAGCCGTTATGGGAGCCACAGGCTTCAAGATGCCCTCCGCAAACAACGAGAGTACTTTATCGAGTGTTTCTCGCATCTTGTTTGGCTTGAGCCGGGCCAAGACGGTCAAGTCTACAGCAGCAAACGTGACACTGTTGTCGAAAGGAACCATACTGATCTCGTTCTTCCGATAAATATCAGACTTTCCGATTTCAACAAAGGTCCCCAGAGGTGCAAGAACAGCAAACGAGTCATGGAGTGACTCGCCTGACAACGAGTTTAAGACGCAGTTGACACCCTTGCCCTGGGTAAGTCGCAGAATCCCCTGCTTGAATGTCCGAAGTCTTGACGAAAAGATATGGTCTGGCGGGATGTTGAATGTGTCAATGAGCAGTTGACGCTTTGCGCTACTACCCACGGTGCAGAAGATCTCGGCTCCGATATTCTGAGCAAGCTGAATTGCTGCTTGACCGACGCCACCAGAAGCAGCATGGATCAGAATGGTGTCCCCACGCTCGAGGCGAGCAACCTCGGCGATGCAATGGTAGGCGGTGCAGAAAATGACAGGGATTGATGCGCCCACGGAGTAGGGCATACTCTCTGGAAGATGACAGCTGAAGTTCCCATCAATCCTCGGGTGACTAGAAAAGGGCTCCGCGAAGATTCCGCAGACGCGATCGCCCACGCGGAACTTGTCCTCAATGGCAGAGCCTACCCTGCGAACAATACCGGCACATTCGCCGGCCATGGTGACACCCGGTATCATCTGCCCCATCGCGATGAACACATCCTTGAAGTTGACGCCGTACGCTCTAGCCTCAAGCTCTACTTCAAACGATTGAAGAGGTTTCGAAGGCATCTCGTCGTCGGCAAAACGGAGACTGCTGAGGAGTCCCGGAGTCTCAACCTCGATTTTGAGAGGCCTAGCCGCCTGTTGAAAAGGCCCGGTTTCCATTCCTTGCGCGTAGATGGACCTCTTAACCCAGTCATCGAATTTGGCATCAGCATGAACTCGAGGAATCAGCAACTGGCCGTTGCTGAAGGTGTATTCATCCTCGTCTGACCTTGAAACGCTGACGGGCGTGGCAAAGGACCTTCTGATGATGTCTGAGATCTGGGACACCAGAGACTCCGGAGTCGATAGAATGTCGTCTTGCACATCGACAGTGACGAAACGCATAGCCGAGTTCTCTCGTCGCACGACTCTGGCAAGGCCGCTGATCATCCCCTTCGCCGGATTCTGGGTTTCCGCACCGTTCTCTTGACAGCTGAGCCACAGCACGCTCTTCGCCTTGGTGACGAGAGAGACAATTTGTGCGAATTTTTCGGCACTTGGTGCAGCAAGGATGGGGTCCATCGCATCATCGAGGACAAAGTGGATAGCATCGGCGTTGACTGGCTCAGATGACCAGTCTGTCAAAGAACAGGAAAGTCCCAGTGCGGTCATATGTGCCACAAATGCATCTGCAAGAGACGCAATCTGGTCTGACTGAGACTGGGAGACGATGCGAATTAAAGGGGAGTCTTCATTTGTTGAAGACTGCTCCTCAACGGCTGAGGCAACGATCATGCTTGGTCTTGTGGCAGGGT